CGAGGTCAATCGGAGGGGTGGGCGAGGGGGGAACGACTGTGAGACAAAGCGCTTATGTTTTTCCCGAAGTATTTGATGGTGATGGTGGGCGGGGGGGCGACTGTAGGGCGCTATCGTCCTGGCCCGAAGTATCGAGGGTGAAGTTGGGCGGTGCGGGCGACTGTTAAGGCGCTATCGTTCCCGGGAAGTATTGAGGTGATGTGTTGGGGGGCGGGGCGACTGTAAGCGGCTATGGTTCCCGAAGTTAGGTGAGGTGATTGTTGGGGGGGGGGGGGCGACCTGTAATGCGCTATGTTGGTGGTCGCGCGCCCGAGTCGTATGCGGTCGTTGTTGGGGGGGTAGCGGGAGATGGGGGGAACCAGCAGAAGGTGTCGTACCCTGCACGGAGACCTTGTGGAGGGATGCCCTCCGACGCGTCCGGTACACACCGCGCGCGTATGAGTTCGTCCCACGCGCTCTCTGTAGGTGGAGTTGTCAATTGTGCATGGGTTCGATTTCGCTCTGGCCGGGTTGAGGGGGGACTAGCGACGACTGTAAGGCCGCTATTGTGCTTCCCCGAACGTTTATCTCGCGGTGATTCGTTGGCGGGGGGGCGGGGCGACTGTAAGTCGCTATCGACTCCCGGAAGTATGAGGTGATTGGGCGGCGGGGGGGGGGGACGATTGTAGATTGTAGTGCGGCATTCGCCTCCTCATGGTTTGTGCTGAGCGTCCGGAATGAGTAGCCTCAGCGCAGTGACTCTTTGCAACACAGCGTAGGGGTGGTGGACCGAGTGATTCACATTCTGTGTCGCGACGCGCGATCGCTCCGCTTTTGGGGTAGACAGCGCGCTCGAACAGGAAGAACCTCGCTAGACGTATCAAAGGCAAGAAAGCCATGTCAGAAATTGAGTTGGAGCGCCGTGTCGTTTTATCAGCGTGGGTCCATCTGCACCTAGTATAACCACCGTTGGTATATCCTCCTCGTCATCTGCGTGATCTCTCCTAGAAAACCTCGCGAAGACCGAGTCTGCATGCAATACCGCTCGTTTTGCAAAGCGACTCGCAACGCGGATTTCTCTGAAGGGTGTAGAGTCAGACACTACTGCCAGTTTGACTGCTCAGTAGAGTGCATGTAAGCCGGCTTGAGAGTGCCGAGTGACCCATCTCCTCTACATCATATATACCTAATAATTTTTTTGTCTGACGGGTCTCATACCTTATCGACAGGGTGTCACAAAAGGACGATGCTCGCGCTCTCTCTATTGTGTGGCCTAGGCATCTATCCAGCAGGAACTTGTAAGGAATAGTGTCGTCAACAGGCTTATATAAGAACTCTATAAGAGTCAAGTGATACCAAGAGTGAGTGACTGGGAATATCGAACGCTCGACGGCTCGGAGGATGAGTCATATGCCGTACTTATACATATGTGTAGCGGAGTACCTCCACACGACGCGCGGGGTCATAGAGTGTTTCTCGTGTTGTCTTAATGTTAGTCAGCTTCCGTAAGAAGCTCTCTATGAGCCTTAAGGTTCACTCCCGAGACACTATCGGAGTAGTTCATTTACATTCGGAGAGGTCTTGGTGCTCCGCGCACGTTGTCATATCGGTTTAGGTTGAGTACAGGTCAGTGGAATATTGCCCCTGCAAACCTCTCTGGGGGGTTGATGGGTCTGTGACCGTGACGTCCTTCAATAATGCAAACTCTATATGGGGTCGCGATTGGGTGCATGATTTCCAGGGGTATGAGTACGGTGCTAGACGCAGTGTGTACAGGTATAATCATATAAATAGTTCCCCTAAAGCGCATGCTCTTATGCAGATCTAGGTGATACGCCTCGCTCCCGGTGGGTGTGAGTCGCAGTGGTACTTGCAACTGACGAAGACCGAGGTTTTGTGTGGGCCTTTTCTCGAGTAGTAGGCGAAACCGCATGTCTCTAACGTCGTAAACTCCGGACTCATCTCTGGGTGTGTAAGTTGTTTGGGTATGATAGGGGAGGACAAAGTCGGGACAATAGGTTGTGAGCTCCGGACTGCGCACAGACAGACAATGACAGTCTACTGTTAGTGGACCACAGAACTGTTTTAGCGCAGTGCTGCTGTACAGACCGACGTTAACAGCAGCCCTCTCTGTGCACACGGAAGTCGTCCGGTGATCTAACCGCCTTCTGGAAAAGCTTCACCGGTACGCAAATGCGCTTTATGACACAAGTGACGGTACGCATTTCAGATTGTTGCCGCGCATGCGTACCTGCGTACCACTAATGTGCCCCCCTGTACATAACAATCGTGCAGTGAATTGCACAGTTAAGAGGGTTTTAGCAGCTGATGGAGCAATAAGTCCACTGTCTCTTGTCGGATGTGTAATATATCATTTGTAAGTCAATAATATTTCTGTTTATCAATTTGATACTGCTTAAGTTTGTACAATATCGTAATTCTCTTGTTTCATTTCATTATTATTATTATTTTTACTATTATTGTTTCACACGTTGGAAATAAATCAAATCAAACCTCTTCCTGCTCCAGGGTCTGTATGATATCCACATCAAGCTGCAGAGCGTCCCCTTCCTGCACTGGGACGCTCCCGCCACCTCCCATTGGTTAACAGCCAGGTGAGTCCCTCTCTGAGACACTGAGCCATAATGACTGAAGTATGCAGGGTTTCATTCATCTAGTTATTACCACATTTACAGGAAGATCAGCTAAGTTACTCTACCACAGGACTTTTAAGTATGAAATCCACTCACTGTGTATATCGGTAGTTTAATTGAAAAAGCAGACACTTAATGAACCATTTCTGTGTGAAAAGGGTCGCACACTTCTCATGTTAAACTATATAAGTGTAAGACTGGCAGATTTAAGTGTGCAGACTGGATCTCTACACCACACCACCTACGCACCGCTCTCACACCTTTCATTCATTATAGTGGAAGCATAGCAACTTCTCATTATAAGAAAAATATTATACATCTACCTTGGGAATTTCATTCAATTGCCTTTCAACTGTTTTTAAGCTCAATAAGCACATTTGCGTTTCCCTGAATGATTGTTAAAATATATTCCATTCAAATACACTATAGTCTACTATTTCTTTTTCCATGTTCTCATTCCTCTCCCTCTTCTTCCCCCACACACAGAGAGGTGATGAGTGCCCCGGTCACTTGTCTGAACAGGATAGAAAAAGTGGGGACCATCGTGGACGTCCTTAGCAACACGTCCACCAGTCACAACGGCTTCCCGGTCGTCATGCAGGGCGCAGATAGTGACGAGGTAATGCATGAAGGCTTTGTTTTCTTTGAAATAGTGCAATTATCTTAGCAGGATCCAGCCATGGTGAAATGCATCTACGTGGACTGACTTTTCCCTGTCATTGTTCAGGCCTTTTTTTTTTTTAGATCAAATCGCAGCTACCCCTTTAAAGTATCAGCAGTAAATGTTGTTGTCTCTCTTAAGATGCTATTTTCTTTCCAACAATCAGCAGTTGTGCAGAGACATCTTTCAGAAAAATGCAGAAATACCAGCACCTACTGTAGAAAAATGATATACCAGAAATGCAGTGCAGACATAAGACCATGTTTGAGGAAGTAATGTCTGCAGCTCTTGCCCACTTCCTCGTCATATCGAATCCAATGTTGAATAGAAAAGATCAAAGTACGCACTCTCAAGAGGCTGAGAAAAGACACACTGGAAACAAAGTAGATAATCACCACAAAAAGTATTATTAGTTTTTGAGGAACTCTATCGTAGTACTTTCGGGATGACTCATTTTAGAGTGTTAATACTGTACCAGAGAGTTTGAGCTTCAATCTGAATCCTTATATTTCTTTAACGACACCTTTTGTTGTTGTTTACTCGCTTTCAGCCGTCGAAGCTCTGCGGCCTCATCCTACGCTCTCAGCTCATCGTTCTTCTAAGGCACAAGGTAACATCAGCAACCCTTCATATATCACTGCCATGAAATCAGCTATTAACCCTAATCTAAGTCAAAATATGTGGGTTTTTTTGTACATATATCATTATTATTTAAATAAATGTATTTCAATTAAGGTTCGATTTATTAGTTATTTGTTTATATTTGTATATTTTTTCTTTCACTTAAAAAATAATTGCTTTTGGTTTAAAGGCGTCTGATATGCTTTTTACTCTGTATGTAAAAAAATAAGTAAGAATTCATATTTTCAAATTATTCATTCAATAACTATTTTTTCTGCTTTTTTATTTATTTTAATAGTTGTTTGATATATATATTTATAAAAAAATGTGTATATATATTTCCTTTCACTTCAAAAATAAAATGTTTCACTATTGTGATGTTTTAAATAGCGTGGCTCACAGTTCCTCCTGTGTCCCGGCAGGTGTTTGTGGAGCTGGCTCGCTCCCAGCTGACTCAGAGGAAGCTCCAGCTGAAGGACTTCAGGGACGCGTACCCTCGCTTCCCCCCCATCCAGAGCATCCACGTGTCCCAGGACGAGAGGGAGTGCATGATGGACCTCACCGAGTTCATGAACGCAACGCCTTACACTGTGCCACTGGTAACACACACACACGGTTTATGTAGATGTACATAATACATGTGTCCTAAAACCAGGAAGTAAGCTGCGCTCGGGTTCGACAAAAAAGCAGTGGGATTTCTTCATAGGGTTTTGGAAAATAGCTCGAAATAAGATCTGTGGAAAACGAACCTGTTAAATGCACGTTTTGTTTTTGAGTATTAAATCTAATAGATAGATTTATGATTGTAGAGTAGACATGTGGATATTATCCGGCTGTGCATTTATCTAACAGGTTCGTTTTCCACTGACCTTATTTTGAGCTATTTTCCAAAATCCTATGGAGAAATCCCATTGCTTTTGTTGTCAAGGGAACCCGAGCGCAGCTTACTTCCTGGTTTTAGGACGCGTCACTGCACCACTCTATGGCACAAGTTTCAAGGCTCTTATTGTCATGTAATTCTTTGGTCACAGGTTCCTCCGACAGTGCAACACAATAAAACAGTATATAATATATAAAATCAAATAGAATATAATAGAAACAGAATATAATAGAAACAGAATATAATAGAAACAGAATATAATAGAAACAGTGCAGAATAGTCTATATACAGTAATTGGAATATTGATATATGAGTTGCAAACAGATGAATGTCATGTATGTTCAAAAAGTTCAGGTGTTTAACTCCCCATGGCCAACATTTATGTTTATATTAATACATAACTTTTACAACTTTATTTAAACTAAAATGACACGTTGTGTTTGCAGGACACTTCTCTTCCTCGTGTGTTTAAGCTGTTCAGAGCGCTGGGACTCAGACACCTGGTGGTAGCGGATGATGTGAACAGGGTAAGAGTGTGTGTTTGTGTGTGACTTAATGCATTGCTTGATGTCATGATCACATTCTTGTTGCTGACAATTATTCTGACTTCACACATTTGGTTTTCAGGTGGTCGGTCTGGTGACTAGGAAAGATTTGGCCAGATATCACCTGGGTAGTCACGGACTGGAGGAGCTTCAGCTGGCCCAGACATAGTACACACACACACACACACACACACACACACACACACACACACACACACACACACACACACACACACACACACACATCTATGAACTATGTCCACCTGATGCCTCCTCAGATGCTATGCAGGACACTATCCACGGCCGAGAGGTGTCCGTTACTTCCTGAAGCCGAAATGTTCACCATGAAAAAACGTGTGAAGTGTTAGAAAAATACACTTAATTGTAAAACTAGTGTAACAATTGGATGAAGAATAACAGCCCTTTACGAACAGATTCGTTCTGTTCAATCCATTTGAAATGCTTTGCTTTCAACAGAATACGTTATCGTCTCTGAGACATTAAATGAACCCTAAGAACGGGGGCTTTGGTACCCTTGTTTTTTTTTTCTTTTACTTGTATGCAAATAATGTCTAATGGATGGAAAAGAAAAAAAAGTTGCCTTATCTGAGGATTTGTATTTCGATTATGCTTTTCAAAGACCTCTTCAAAGACATTTTACGTACGTGGTGAAGTTAAGTTAAAATCCCTCTGCTTCATTTAAAAAGGAAAAGATCTGCACATGTCTCTCAGTGTTTCCTTCGTGTTGTTCTGATATCACTTCACATATGAATCAGTTATAACATTGATTATTTACATTTTTTGGATTGGTTTGAAAACATGATTTTGAGCAAGGGTTCATCGTATAATAACCGACCATTTACGGTCTTCTTCGGCGATGCAGGAAACGTTTTTATTTTTCGGCTATTGTGTAGTTTTGCACTGAGCGAATGCTGTTATTTATTGTTAATGTATTTTAAATGTGTGATTTGGGCTCACCTATGCCCAGTCACATATCCCAAGACACCTTTAATAAGACATAATGGTCACCTATTTATTTTGGAAACGTGTCATTTTGTCGTTGGAGACAAACTGGAGATACAGATCTCTCCTTCTGTCAGCTTTACTGAGCATATCTTTTGTACTACTGCCAGTGAAAACGGACTGAAACTCTTAGGTACCATCATCTTTTTTCAGAAAATCTCAAAATGTTTGCACTTTGGTCTACTACTGAAAAGAAAGTGTCACTCGTGAACTCCAAATGAATGTAAACCGTTGTTTATCACATGAACTCTGTTTAAACCAATCAATTTACACAATAAAAAAACTCAGATTTAAAAATGGTCAGTTTGTAAATCCAACATGTTTTCAAATATCAGTGTTATTTAGTTTTCTCCTTCGGTTTGTTGTCTTTGTACAGTTCTAGATGTTAAAATATGGACTATGCTCAATTTCATAACCACTGGATAAGCCTTTTGTGAATTAATAAAGTTGAAATCTATTGTCATTTTATCTGTGTGTCTGCTTGAAAAAACATTTTGAAATCTTAAAGCAAAAGAGTCATTTTACTTTCCTCTGTGTGGATTTAAAGTGAACATAAAAGTATTAAAAGGTCTGGCAGTATCAGAAGTGAGCAGAGGATAAGAATCTTCCACAGGGGGAAACAGTATATCATATGTATAGTATAGTTCGTTTTTAATGATAATAGAAATCAATGAAACACTTACTTAAACATAAAACGTTCATAAATGGTTACAACAGATGAATTCCCTGAGGAAAGATGTCACGACCACTAACGGTAAATCATTTTAAAGACACCATCACTTCTCTCAGTGTCCACTAGATGGCAGAAGAAGGACAGATAAAACACTTTCTGGTTGTTCACACCCACAGACGCCAAGTTCCTTCAATGCAAAGCTACATTACATATTTGTATCACATGTATGTAAAGAAGTGATACATGTGTAACCTACCAATAGGAAGACAACATGTGCATGCTTTGACTTTTCACACGGAGAGAAAGCATGCACATGTTGAGAGGAAACCGCATTTTCAAAAAACCACCCGTACGAACAAATGCCAAACTTCATTGCATCTCATCAAAAGGTGTTAGTCTGTGGAATAACTGATGCACTCAAATATTGTACAAGTCTGTCTAAACTGAAAGTATTATTTAGGAACCAAATCATGAATGGTTATGAACAGGACCTGAAAAATCCCATTTGTTATTTCTTGTAGTTGTAAAAGTAATTTATTTCTGATTGTTTTGTAAAAAACAAACAAATTAACAATACAAACATGTCGCCAATGACGATGACCTAATATTTTATTTATAAGGAAAATGTATGCTAGAGGGGGTAGGACCAGAAAAGTGTTTTTAAAGCTTCTTCTCGCCCCTGTTGAACATGACAGGGACTATTTGAGAATTATTATTCTTTATTTTTTTTGTGTACTTCGTTATAATTATGTGTGAGAAAAAAAAGAATATATATATATATTATTGTTGTATGTTTTGTTTCTGACATGTAAAAACTGTTTATCATCAGTTGTGCATATTATACGGTCTGTCAGCGTGTATTTGGATTAAAGTATTCATGATGCAATTTACAAGATGTTTTAGGGCCAAATAAAAACTGCTACTCAGAAGTCAGATCGATAAGGCCGTGCATCCAATACTGTGGTTTTCAACATATTTTTTCCCCATATTTGTTGGGAGTTACATTAGAAAAACAACACCTCTCTTATTTCTGTATGATAGATATCTACAGACAGCAGCCAATTAGCTTAGCTTAGCTTAGCTTAGCTTAAAGAAACAGCTAACTAGGACCTGAAACATCTCTGTATATCCTGCTCATTCTCAGGTTCATAGTGTCTCTACCGTGACATGTCTCCATGCTTTAATGTTCAAAAAGCTCTTTATTGTTCTCATACTGCTTGTGCTGCAGCACCTCTTTTCACCCTCTGTCTGAAACCAGAGCCCAGTCTTCCCTAATCTACATCGTTTATGATGATATAGTCTGGTTTTGTGTCCTATTATTGCACGTAAACCCTCTGAATCTCTTCCCCTGCCTTTGATACATTGATTCAAATATAATACTCACTCATCGCCTGACAAGAAAAGCTACGTACTCATTCCTTCATCCCCTGACAAACGTGATTACCACCTCTGATTACATTCATTCTTGTCAATCTTTCCTCGTCAAACACCTTTTGTATTTATTCATTCATGGTTGCTCGGCGACTACCTTTACCACATTAAATTACTTTTTATTCCCTCTGAGAATTAGTGTTTCAGTCTGACTCAATCAGGCGGTTATGGTTGAATGGGCTCCAAACGGGTCGTGTTCTTCTTTCCACATTAAGCCGAGATAAATGCCTCCCACCCAATGTGCTGTTGGAAAACCGCTTAGACCGTTATTATACATACAGCCCAGGTGTATAGCTTACATACTGTATCTGTGTGTGAGCCTGTGTGAGAGAAAGCAATTACCAGAGCCTGAGCTTAATGGAATAATTTACCAAATCAATGCAGATTACACTTGCAAATCCATTTGATATCAGTCCCTGAATTCAATTTGTGTTGTGTTACTGTATGATAATTGGTTTCGCTCGGTGGTCAGTAGCACCCTTGCACATTTTTGAGATGACAGGAGACCCTTTGTCGAAAAAATTATAATTATAAACCTGATTTTATGGATAGAAAGAGAGATAAATAGCTGACAATTTCACACTTCCTTGTTATTTGTACACATTTAACAACAAATATATGATGTGTTAAATCTGGGATAGGCATCTTTGGACCAACTGGCAAGAGCAAGGTGTCTTAGTTTTTTGTTATCACAGTATTGTGTTATATAGGTTTTAAATGGTATGCAAAGGCTAAAATACCAAAGTTCCCTTGTACGTGATAGGCAAAGGGGCGGGACATCTCTAAGCGGTTGACCAATCCCAACAGAGCAGGCCAGCTAACCAATCAGAGCAGACTGGGCTCTGGTTTCAGACAGAGGGTGAAAAGAGGTGCTGCAGCACAGGCAGTATGAGGAAAATAAAGAGCTTTTTGAACATGAAAGTATGGAAACATGTCCCAGTAGAGACACTACATACTGATATGAACCTGAAAATGAGCATGATAATATATCAGCGGAGCAGATCCTTGGCCCGCGCCTTCAGAGCATTTTCTCAGATCTTTCCCAGTTGAGTAAGAAATGTGGGTTTGCATGGCTGAACCCCGAGAGGCTCCTTATACTGAGACACTCTTTATGACACCATCCTTGCTCAAGCGCACATTTTATAGATGCCACTTATTCCACCTGGGACCACTGCCGTTTTCTATTTCCATAAAGAAATATGAATATTATGGGTTTAAAGCGTTGCTTGCTTTAGGGCAGACCTGAAAGACCCTCTGCTGACACTGACAGGGCTGATTGGTACAGCAACGATGTTAAATCAGTTTTTACTGTCATTAGCTGATTTTCACAATGAGGTTTTTGCCCGTTTGTTGGGATTTTTCTACTGTTTTCTATACTGACATTATTACTTCTGATACTTAAACTATTTTGAACACGCAGACCTGATGTGCTTTTTTTATTTTTTTATTTACTTTACTTTTTTAT